CTGATCTGAAGTCTACTGTTCTGGGTGCCAGGAAGCCAGAGGCCGTTTGGCTAGTGCTCCAGTGAGGCTGGAGGCGGAAGCAAGGGCTGGGAGATGGCTGCTTCAGAACAGAAAGCAAGATGGCGCTGATCACCTTCGTGAGAGCCAGTGCACAGCTGGGAAAGGCTGTGGGCCCCAGAGGGGGGCAAAGGGACTATTGATACTGCTGCCGTTGCTGCCAGGTTTGCAGAGTCTAAAAGGGCTGCTTGGAAACGTGCTGTGTTTGCTGTGAAGCTTCAGCTAAAGGCCAGAGCCCTGGAGAAGGAATACAAAAGCCTAGAGATGGCTGGAGCCCCTGTCCCTGATGCTTTAGCCACAAGGAGTGCTGCTGAGCAGGTCGGGGGGGCGAAGATTTCCAAAGGCACGTTTAAAGTTTTCCACTGTACGTGCTGGAATCAAGTGGAGGTTCAGAGGGGGCGGAGCTGGCAAGGAGTGCTTTTCCGGAAGAAGGAGAAGGAGGCCAGCTGGGAGGAGCCCCGGAGCAGTGTTTTTCCACTGGAGTTCGTCATTGCTACACGTGTAATGCGGGACGCTTGCGACGCTGCTGCCCATGGAGAGCGGAGACAGCTGGGCAGGAAGGTCCCAAGGTCAACCAGCTGAGTTCCCACGGGAGTCAGTCTGGGAGAGGACGCCAGCGTGGGAACGCAAGGGAAAGACGTGTCTCAGACACTGGGGAGGGTTGTTTCTTATCACTGCTTCTATGGCAACTGTGAAGAACAACTCCAGCCAGGACACGATGACACGCTGGGTGTTTTGGTTTCTGCTATCAGGCAGCACCTGATAGGCAAACTGCGGGACTGCAGGGCTGTTTTCAACAGGAACAATTGGTTTATTCGCAGACGGAGCACAAAAAGCAGTCTGTGGTGTGGCTAACGTGTTTTTTCTCTCCTTCACAGGAGGAGCAAGAGGTCTACGTTGTGCCGGGACTGAATAGTTGTCGGTTATTTGTATCTGCTCTAATGAAGCAGGGGTTCCAAAATGTGCTTTGAAAATGACACCTGTTCCATTTTCAGAGGGGGGCGACAACTGGTCAACATGGCGAAGAGCAAGAACAATTTCTTTGTTCTGGAGTCACCTCTGGAGGGTGGTGGGAATGCTGGAAAAAGCACAGGTGCAGTGTGCTAAGGTTCCCAGTGATGTGCAAAAGTTGCACAGGTGCACAAAAGGGTACAAACTCCGGAAATGTGGGAGGTCCCAAGGGTGCAGGGCATGCAAAGGTGCAAAGGTACTTGGTTTTCCCGGGTTTGGGAGGGTAGCCAAGGAAGCTTTTGAGCTTGTTCACACAGATCTGTCAGGACCCATGAGGTGTGAGAGTCTGGGTGGGGCCAGGTATGTGCCATCGCTGACAGATGACCACAGCCAGGTTGGCTGGTGTCTCTCTCTCAAACCACAGGGAGAGGCGGCGCAACTGATCCAGGATTGGGTTGCGGAGGTAGAACTAAGGTTCTCCACCAAGGTGCAAGGGTTCAAGAGCGACCGAGGGTCACAGTTTACTGGGTCTGCTCTGGAGGAATTTTTCAAGGAAAAGGGAATACGTCACTAGGTGACGGGTGCAAAGTCTTCTCAAGGGAGAAGGGAGGCTGTTACTGAGCCCGGTGACGGGGATCAGGTCCAGAATCAGGGTTCAAAACCCGGTGATGGGGACCAAGTCCAGGGTCAGGGTTCAGGGCAGGTTTGGGCATCTCCAAGGGTTGTGAAAGGAGTGTCCAGGTGTGAGGCTTCATCTCCGGTAATGGAGAAAGCTCACGGAAGGGGTGTCAAGTCAGAGGGGGAAGAGTCTGACGGAGAAGACACAACTGCTGGCCCTAATGGGTCAGTAGGGTATCAGGTCACAGGTGCGTGGAAAAGTGTCGCACAGTGTGATTCTGGGAATGCTGAAGGGGTTCAACAGGTGCCTGGGAAAGATGCCGGGAAGTGGCACAAGGCAAAGGGGAAGGTGTTGAACTCAGAAGGTCTTGTCAGAATGTGATGCAGAGGGGGTATGGGAGTTGGAACTTAACTGGTTAAGTTGTTCCCATGATGCCTCAATTCTGACGTCAGCCTAGCAAGCTGGGAGGAGTTTGGGAAGAGTTTCTGTCTGTTCCCCTCTGGTCGTTGAGGGAGAAAGACGTAGCCGGTAATGGCTGAAAGGAGCCCAGGAGATTCCTGGGGGAATGTCGGAATAAAGAGCTGTAAATAGACGAACCTGTCTATGTGTGCTTACAAGGAGTAAGACTGCTTTACACGCTGTGTTTCTACTCTGCTAAAAGCCGTGACTGAGAAGAGACAGCAGGAGTTATTGCGCAGCTTGGGAGGAAGCGTGCCGGACCGCTGTAAGTGATTGATTGGGACCGTAAAGCTGTCTGAAGTCGCGGCTCTATCGATCAAGGGCCAGATCGATTTATCCGAACATTCTCCCCCCGCCCCCAGTAATCATTTATATTTTCTCTTTCATTCCCTGCTACACTAATCCATCACAAGCAAATGAAACCCCCTGGCCTGCAACCTCACCAGTTTAATGTCGCCCTTTATGGATAAAAGGGATGCAGGTGACGCTGTGGGTTAAACTTGCTGATCAGAAGGTCGGTGGTTCGAATCCCTGTGACGGGGTGAGCTCCCGTTGCTCGGTCCGTGCTCCTGCCAACCTAGCGGTTCGAAAGCACGTCAAAGTGCAAGTAGATAAATAGGTACCGCTCCGGCGGGAAGGTAAACGGCGTTTCCGTGCGCTGCTCTGGTTCGCCAGAAGCAGCTTAGTCATGCTGGCCACATGACCCGGAAGCTGTCTGCGGACAAACGCCGGCTCCCTTGGCCAATAAAGCGAGATGAGCGCCGCAACCCCAGAGTTGGCCACGACTGGACCTAATGGTCAGGGGTCCCTTTACCTTTACCTTTACCTTTATGGATAAAAGCTTTTCACTGATGGTTTTAGAGATCTGAATCCAAGCTCTCCAGAAGGGATGCTGTATGCATTCTTTAGCGTTGTTCGCACTGGAGTTTTATTTCCTGCTGTTATTCTTGCATTCCATTCATTCGTGTGTTTGCCTTTACAGTGGAAACGTATGAGTGAAATGAAGGCCTTCGCTGAGAGGCAAGTGGCTTGCGACGAGCTTTTCAGAAGTGAGGAGGACGAATACAAACTCTACGAAGCTGTGAAATTTCTCATGCTCAATACGGCGATCCATTTGTACGAAGACAACGAGAAGGGGAAGGAGGTCCCCGTTTTCGCCTGGCTTCTCTTTGCCCGGGATACATCCAGCAATCCTTCACAACTGATGGAAAACCACTTGAATCAACTCGGTCACACGGGAGGCCTTGAACAAGTAAGTTCCTCACGTCCAACCAAAATGGGATCTAACATTCGTTCCCTGCCGTTCATTAGGAGAAGGGGAAGCAGATGTTGATTTGGTGCAGTCCAGAACTCAACCTTTATATAGGCCCAAGCAGGGCCTGCCAAGCAAAGTAGCAGGGAATCTCAAGTCTACAATTCTGACTTTGATGTTTCTCCTAATGCATAACCGAAATCTGTGGTCTTGCAATTTCCAGTCTCCTTTGGGCGTTCTCCTTAAGCAGAGGTTGGCCGGCTATCGGTCAGGGATGCTGAAGGTTGCATCCTGCACTGAGAAGCGGGAATTGGACCAGAAGACCTCCAAGGTCCTTGCCAGCTGCATGGATCACTGAAAAAACAAATCCAATGCTTACACTGGCATTTCCCTCTGAGTATATAACTACAGGTGAAACTCAAAAAATTAGAATATCAGAATATTCATCAGCTACAATTATAACAAATTACGCCATAATCATCACAATTGTAACAAATAAAGGCTTGACATATCTCGATTTGCATGTCATGAGTCTATCTCATATATTAGTTTCACCTTTTAAGTTGAATTACTGAAATAAATGAACTTTTCCACGATATTCTAATTTTTTGAGTTTCACCTGTACTCAGCAAGCTGCTATACAAACAGCAGGGGCCCTGATCCAACAGAACATATGTGCAGCCGCCAACCTGCTCACACCTTGTATGTGCAAGAGAAGCTGGCTAATAGCAAGCTTTTACTTCTTCGTCTTTTTTTTTAAAAAAAAAATATTTGGTTTTTCAAATTACGGTTTAACTATCACATATCCAACATACAACATCAAGAGAAGATTCTGTAGAATCTCCTGGACTTCCTTCCTCCCCTTTGTGGGTCCTATTGTTAATCATTTCCTCCTGCATCTTTCATAATAATCCAAATCTTTTACATCTCCATTATATCCAAAATTCACCATTAAACTACAAGTGTTATTTCAACCCTACTAACAATTTTAACTGTTTACAATGGTTTTTAAGATAAATTATAATTTCCCCCCATTCTTTATTAAAGTTTTGGTTTCCTGATTTCTGATTCTTCCGGTAATATTGGCCATTTCTTCGTCTTTTAACTTGGCCATGTAGCCCATAGTCCTCTGGACCAGGCTGGGAGTTGTGTTCCTCTTTGCTTGTATCATTTCCCACCTAGATTGGGGTGCGTGTCTAGGCCTATTTCCAGAATAAAGGTAAAGGTAAAGGGCCCCTGACCATTAGGTCCAGTCGTGACCGACTCTGGGGTTGCGACACTCATCTCGTTTTGTTGGCCAAGGGAGCTGGCGTACAGCTTCCGGGTCATGTGGCCAGCATGACTAGGCCGCTTCTGGCGAACCAAAGCACGGAAACGCAATCTAACTTCCCACTGGAGCGGTACCTATTTATCTACTTGCACTTTGAGGTGCTTTTGAACTGCTAGGTTGGCAGGAGCAGGGACTGAGCAACGGGAGCTCACCCCGCCGCAGGGATTCAAACCGCCGACCTTCTGATCGGCAAGTCCTAGGCTCTGTGGTTTAACCCACAGCGCCACCTGCGTCCCAGAATACTTTTCCAGAATACATTTGGCCAAATCGGTTATTTGTCTTTTTAAAATAATGGACGCAATTTTTTTTCACTTTCTCCCCTCGATTCCTAGGTGGAGATGTTTCTCCTGGCTTACGCCCTTCAACACACCATCCAGGTCTATCGACTCTACAAGTACAACACAGATGAATTCATCACTCTTTACCCCAACGACCCAGAAGAGGCCTGGCCAATTGTAACCCTTATAACTGAAGATGACAGACATTATAATATTCCTGCTCGAGTGTGCGAAGAGACTAGTTTGTAAAAAAACAAAAAACAAAACAGGTGCGTAAATGGAATAAACAACTTAAAAGCAAATCTTCTTAGTTTCCAGTTTATTTCCCCCCCCCAACAAAGGCAGTTAAATTTTAAACACTTTGGTGCAAACTTCTGAAATTAAACTCCTAATACAATGTCCAGTGGTACTTCAGGTTAAGTACTTAATTCGTTCCGGAGGTCCGTTCTTAACCTGAAACTGTTCTTAACCTGAAGCACCACATTAGCTAATGGGGCCTCCTGCTGCCGCCGTGCCGCCAGAGCACAATTTCTGTTCTCATCCTGAAGCAAAGTTCTTAACCTGAAGCACTATTTCTGGGTTAGTGGAGTCTGTAACCTGAAGCTTATGTAACCCGAGGTACCACTGTAGTTCCAAGTATTTTTGTTTCACTAATAGGCAAAAATAGTTTTTTATCTATTGGATAAATTTCTAAGAAAGGTTAATTTTTAACCAAGATGCAGCCATTCTCTTCCATGGGAAGCGATGATGCCCACTTCAAATGCAAGACGTGTCGATTTCCGAAACAGTATTTGCCATACGAATCAAGACACCGAAAGAATCAACTCCGAACTCACTTTTGCAATATTTGTGACCAAGCCCAGGAGTTCCAAGTACAGAAGCAGTTTCTGCCCAGAGATGCTCCTACTGGATCTGGAGGCACATTGTGCGTGTCAATTTGCACATGCGGTCTCAAGACAGCATCCCCATTTGCACTAATAATAATAATAATAATAATAATAATAATAATAATAATAATGATTTTATTATTTAAGACCTCACCCATCTGGCCGGGTTGCCCCAGCCACTGTAGGTGTGGCTTATGAGTTTGCATTTGCAATGCAGATGAGAATACACATCTCCAAGCCACTTTTCCCAAGCAATGAACACGTTGCTGCGTGTAACCATGTATGTGGAGTGGAGCCATTATGTGCAACCTAAGAGGTTGGTTGAAACATTGGTATGTTTTTCGTCCACAGGACACAGCTGCTGCGGTGACCTTAAGTGCTTCTAGGAGAAATTCAACAGGAAGCTTAGCGCTGATTACTCTTAATCCTCTTCAGGGTTATTTTAACCCCCACATTTGCAGGCACGGAAAGGCTACGAGAGAGACCAGAGCTGCCCTGTTTTTACTGAACAATAATTATACATACTATATCAACCTTCTGAGAAAAATACAAAACATTAAACAAAGCCACAAAGACTTGCGAACCAACCATCCTAAAATGAACTTATAATGTCTGGTTTCAATAGATTTTCCAAATGCTTAACTCAGTCTAAGCAAATCAGTCTCTTAAGCTTAAGGCAAGAAAGAGTATTCTCTGTAAGATTGAATATCAATACAGTGGTGCCCCGCAAGACGAATGCCTCACAAGACGAAAAACCCGCTAGACGAAAGGGTTTTCCGTTTTTGAGTTGCTTCGCAAGACGATTTTCCCTATGGGCTTGCTTCGCAAGACGAAAACGTCTTGTGAGTCTTGTGATTTTTTTTCACTCCCCCCCCTTTTTCTAAGCCGCTAATAGCCTTTTAGCCACTAAGCCGCTAAGCCTTTAATAGCCACTAAACCGCTAATAGCGCTAAGCCGCTAATAGGGTTGCTTCGCAAGACGAAAAAACCGCTAGACGAAGAGACTCGCGGAACGGATTTTTTTCGTCTTGCGAGGCACCACTGTATAGGACTTTGAGATTAGACCACTGAAGAAGCCCGGAAAACTACCTTGGGAGTGTGCTACCTGCAAGCCCCAGTAAAAGGCGAACAGCGGCCTCTTGATTACTTGGACTGCCAGGGCGAAACAGGTGCAAAACGCCGGCACCCTGTCGTCTACGACTTCATTGCCTACAATTTTATTAACATCTATCTACAACTCTACTAGCATCTCTCGGTATTGCGAATATCACCGATCTTAACCTTTTGTTGGTATCTTCATGAACTTATCTAAAAGACCGAGTTAAGCATTTGAAAAATCTATTGAAACCAGACATTATAAGTTCATTTTAGGCTGGGTAGTTCACAAGTCTTTGTGGCTTTGTTTAATGTTTTGTATTTTTCTTAGATGACCCTCGGCACTGGACCTCAGTGTCCGGGCAGAACGATGGGGGCTTTGTAATCTGCCTGGACTTGGGGGGACTCAGTCCCTTGGGATGCTGGGCAGCAAAAGCCAACCCCCCCATTTTCTGTATCATAATCCAAAAAGTTAAATGTCTGAATTTTGATGTAGACTTTAATCATTTCATTAAGCTGAAGGAGAGGGAGAGAAGATTACAAGGAGTCTCCACAGAATCTGAGGACTCTCCAAGGTTTTTAAACAAAAGTTGGATGGTCATCTGTCATGTATGATTTAGTTTACCATATTTTTTGCTCTATAAGACTCACTTTTCCCCCTCCTAAAAAGTAAGGGGAAATGTGTGTGCGTCTTATGGGGTGAATGCAGGCTGTGCAGCTATCCCAGAAGCCAGAACAGCAAGAGGGATTGCTGCTTTCACTGCACAGCGATCCCTCTTGCTGTTCTGGCTTCTGAGATTCAGAATTTTTTTTTTCTTGTTTTCCTCCTCCAAAAACTAGGTGCATCTTGTGGTCTGGTGCGTCTTATAGAGCGAAAAATACGGTAGTTTCCTGCACCGCAGAGGATTGGACTAGATGACCCTCGGTGTCCCTTCCAACTCTACAATCCTATCTCATAAATGGTGGTATAGTTGTCACTTTATAATGCAATAGACTCATCGGACAGATGTGTACGTAACTCAGTTATCAGCTACTGGAGTTTTGGTATGTTCATCGTGACTGTGTTAATGGAAACGCTTTCTCTCTGAAAGTGTCTCCTTCCATAACAGTAAATTTTACTGAATTTGGGGGGCTGGTTGATGTAAAGCCAAAGCCTTTCTTCATGTCACCCTTGCTATTTAATGTGACAAAGTAGTAATCCTGATTCATATGCCACTGATTTAAGATGCTGCAGCCGTTGCTAGGGCTGCTCCATATATCACAAGCCAAGAGAACATGAGTCTGTGGCTGGTCGTGGACCTTAGTTGTTGAATAGCGTGGCGAGATTGAAAGCAGATCTCTTTTTCCCCCTGTAAAGGCCATTATCAAAGCAATCTTCGTTCTACCATTAGTGCTGGCTTGTTCATGATAGATGGGCAGCGAATGAGTTTCTGGTTTAATTGCTGTAGTACAGAAGCGTGAATTTATTGTACTCTGTCGTTCCCCTTTATAGGAAAAAATTATACCCAGAGAAGTGTTGCTGAAAGAGGAACAAGAATTGTAATTCCAGTTAACCATGAGATGGAACAATAGCATTTGATGCTCGGTTCTACCAATATTTCCCTCACGCGTGCATGTTAAAAGCAAATACTTTAACTCCACCATTGTCTAAATAAATAAAAATGAAAAAACTATCCAACTAAGATAGTTTTCTCCCACTGTATAGAAGGGTCTGGTGACTTCTGTTTCAGTATATCTGAAGTGTGCATGCACACGAAAGCATATACCCAGCACTAACTTACTTGGTCTCTAAGGTGCTACTGGACAATTTTTATTTCTTCATTTTGTCTGCGTCAGACCAACATGGCTACCTAACTGAATCCACCATTGTCTGTATGCAGGATGAAGGCCCTCAATCACTATTCCCTCAAGGGAAGGCATAGACAAACTCGGCCCTCCAGATGTTTTGAGACTACAGTTCCCATCATCCCTGACCACTGGTCCTGTTAGCTAGGGATGATGGGAGTTGTAGGCCAAAAACATCTGGAGGGCCAGGCTCATGGGTATTGTGTTTTCTAAGTCTAGCAAGTACTGGCTTTAGCAAAGCTATGTGTTTGTGACTGTGTATGTGTGGACTTTGCTAGCAACTTGGGAGGAGAGACCACTGGAACAGGATACGAATCTCTAGATTTTAAATGGAGCACTTTACAATAAGGCAGAATGTGGGTTAAATTTACTTCCGCTTGAGACTTGAAGCTTAATTTAAAATGACTTAATATGTATTATCTCCAACATTTCTCTTCCAAGGCTTGAGATAGCTAAGCCACCAAAGTGTTTAAAAGCTGACTAAACTGACCCCAACTAAACGGTCCAATCGTTAAAAGGCGGCAAAGGCATGATCTCTGCATTTGCCAATATAAAATAGGCCTTTATAAATCCACATTACAGTGGTACCTCGGGTTACATACGCTTCAGGTTGCAGACTTCACTAACCCAGAAATAGTGCTTCAGGTTAAGAACTTTGCTTCAGGGTGAGAACAGAAATTGTGCTCTGGCGGCATGGCAGCAGCAGGAGGCCCCATTAGCTAAAGTGGTGCTTCAGGTTAAGAACAGTTTCAGGTTAAGTACGGACCTCCGGAACGAATTAAGTACTTAACCTGAGGTACCACTGTACTCTGCAACTTCTAGCACGGCTTGGTTGGAGCAACAGCTAAGGTGAATGGCACCTTTGAACTGGGGCACAGCGACTCTACTGAGAACCCCCTGATTTGCCTGAATTTATGCAAGAGGACGTCTTGGTATATCGGCATAGCTTTCAAGCAGAGTGCGGCCTGGTCTTCAAAGCAACGAACCACTGACAATCTGACATTCAGGCCCCTTTTTTGGCTAGGTGGGCAAAATGTTAAAGCAGTGTGTGCTTTCATCTAGTCATCTGAATAACAAGTCATCCCAAAGCAGCGCCTCTGCCTTAAGGCCCGATGAAATCTCGACAGATTGCACCTTCGTTTCTCTGCGTAGGTCTTGAAATATTTATTGTGACAGTCACCACTGAACTAAAATGTCACGTTGAACGTATACTGACCCCTATGTAGAGGCCTATTTATTATTTAGAGGCTTTTAGCCATTTCTGCCCTGGATAATAGATTCTTTTTATATATATAAAAAACCATAACTTTAAGGACAGCAAAAATATTTCACAAAAGTCACACACTGACACTCTGAAAATAACCTTCGCTCCATCACAGGGCTTTGAGAGCACAACCAAATTAGACCATGTCTTCCAACTGAGTCTCATCGGTTGAATTAATATAAAATGAGTTGTAACTCGGCTGTGACCCTTTATTAGTGACTGGCCTTTTAAAAGATATTAAAATGCAAACACTGGACAATGGGCTGCATACTTGAGGCACTATTAACTTGAAACTTAAGAAATCAGATCTGAAGCAACCTTTCCCTCCCAATTTGAATAAGAGCGCCCCTTACCGGATGGTGATACATCTATACATCTTGCAACGAAATGAAAAATTCATTGCTTTACAGCTTCAAAGCTGTTTTTGAGTTATTTTGCCTTTCTGAAGCCATCTTTCATGCTATCCATTACTAGCTGTCTATCACCAACCATTGCAATTTTCCCTTCCTGAAATCTTAATTGCTTCTTATTTCTAATTCTTAAAGAAAGGCTTTGATCGGTGGGTGGAAAAATGCGTCCAACTGTCCAGATCCTCAGGGGACAGTCGCCTTTTAAAAACATGCACCTTCTGTCCTCAACTATTGAACTAAATGGTTGTGCTGATGGGATACTCGGATCACATAGATGCAGATTTATTATTTAGAAGCTTTTAGTGTTTTCTGCCCCGAGTCAATAAGAATTTGGGGGTTTCTTTCCCCCTCACTGCTTGTGGCCTATTTCTGATGGGCTGCAAGTAAGGTTCGATTCAAGTGTAGGCAGGAAAAACTCACTGAGGCGGCAAATATAGAATCAGGATTTGAAACTGAAAACACCTACCCAGAGAAAAGATCCTTAAAAGTTCTTAAATCACTGCATGAATCGACGTTTAGTCAAGAACATTTTTATTTTTGTCATGAGGAAAGCCATCAAATGCCAAAAAAAAAAGGACCTTTCAGGTAAATTCCTGCACGGCAAGTGAAGTCACAGAAGGCAGAACATAAACCTATCTGTGACATGAAACAAACCACCCTTTAAATATTATGATGAAGGTGGAGAAATAATTCTGAAGCAATCTTTTATATCTATTTATTTGAGAGTTAGAATATCTGTAGAAGTAGCTGCATGTGACTTTCCCCTCCAATGTCTTGTGCGTTTATTTCTTCACTTCTGAAAATGGCGGATGCTGGTAAGTTTCTGAGAATGAATATGTTGTAAGCCATGTGTCGGGGGTCATTCATTTATTCTCCCTCTTAATTTTCAGGTCAATTCCTCAGGTGATGGTGCAGTAAACTTTCTGCTTGTCCGTAATAAGCCTCATGGGAACTGCACTTCAGGTCTAAGGGCAAAGATACATAGCACGAAGCAAACATGGGGTACCCAACTAAAATGGGGGCCATTTGCAGGGGTATTTAGAAGACCAGAGGTGAGGGAACAATCCTGCCCTGCTCCTTTCCATTCTACTTGCAAATGCCATTCTCAGCCATGAATTTATTGTGGTTTTCCCCTTCAAAGCTGGGCTCCATAACTGGAAGCGAAGCACCAGCAGATGTTTGGGTGGGTGTCAAGGGGAGCCTTGGCCAACACACAAAATCCCTCTCAAAATACCTTCCTTGCCTTTGTATTCACATACATATATGATGGGCAGAAGCATGTCCCTGAACATTGATGGATGTCCATCTTGGGAGTTCAGAAGACTCAAGGTTCTCAAGCACATCTCCACAGGGACTGAGACCAACAAAAGAGATGACTTTGACAAATGCATTGTGACTTTTCAGGATTCCCCATGTGAGAGCAGGCTCCTATGCTTCTCAAAAACATTTCATGATGGCCAAGAGGAGATCCTGTGCAAGGAGCAACAGCCGGAAAGCGGCGGAAGCATGACCAATCTGTTTGAGATCTGACTTCCCAGCTTCACCTGCTCATTAACTTACAAAGCCACAAACAGTAATTTATCCTTAAGTTCCTTCCTCTGTATTCTGCTACTGAGATATACTAAGTCTCTGAGCAATCTGCAAACCAGCTTTCGTTGAGTTGGGCTCTTGTCCCATCAAACTGCTACACATTTTCAAAAATAAAACAATTGTGTACAGTTGTACCTTGGACGGAATCCATTCCGGAAGTCTCTTCGACTTCCAAAATGTTTGGAAACCAAAGTGCGGCTTCTGATTGGCTGCAGGAAACTCCTGCAGCCAATTGGAAGCCCAGTCAGATGTTCGGGTTCCAAATAACATTTGAAAACCGGAACACTCACTTCCGGGTTTGCGGCGTTCAGGAGCCAATATGTCTTGAGTACCAAGGCGTTTGGGATCCAAGGTACAACTTTACAGTACTACCTATGTCTGCTAGTAATGTTTGAAGGATGCTTCTATTACAGATTGACTGGAATTAAATTTTGAACCAATGAAGTTCAGCCATGAACGGGAGATGTGAGGCCCAACTAGAATAGTAGAAACAAACAATGGCCTTTTCAAAAAGGACCAAGAGCAATTTTAAAAGCAATGTGTGTCTTTGGCATGGCCACATCATATGTATTGTTCTCTGTTTTACAGCAATGTGTAGAAATAAAATACTAATAAGGGCCTTGAGCTAGAAAATGCCTATATGTCAATCAATAGCGCAGACATAATGGTTTGCAGAGTAGAAGTTGAAGGGTTGAACTGCAGGGATTTCATAACTTCACAAACATTTGGCTTTTGAGTTCAGAGAAAGGTACACACCCCCTAGTTGAACCTACACCAGGCCAGAACACGAATAACCTACTGAAAAATAGAAGCAACACATGATTTGCAAGCCACACGTTGCTCAATATAAGTTGTCAAACTGCTGTACTTTGAGCTGTACTTGTTATAGTCAATAGTATTTTCTTTCTTTCTTGGAATTAAGGACCTTTTCCTTAAAGATGACTGCATTTGAAGTTACAGTCTCAGGTAAAAAAAAATAAATCTTAAATATTCCAGCCACACCGATAATTAAAAAGTTGCCATTTAGCCAAACATCTAGCTAAATAAGTATTTCAGCACTGAAATATTAGATCTTTAATATTTATCCGGCTCTAGACCCAAATAAATAATATTACAGCATACATTTGTTAACGATATCAGAGGGACTGTCACAAGAAATATACTCTTCTCGTTTTATTTCCAAAGAGATGCAAATTTTGAGTCTGATCATGCTAGAGAAATCAGTATTGTCCTGGCCGAGAAAAATCGGTAACATTTGCCAACATTTGTGTGAGTGCTTACAGACACATACACAGACATATGATACATACATGAGCCTCATGTATGTGAAGACAGAATATAAACTACGCAGTATTGATTTTTATCCAGTATATTTTCGTGGCAAGCAAAAAGAACCTGTTGTTGAACAGCACTGTCATCATTCATCAGCAAACTATTTCAGTTGAGACACACTGAAGAGTGGCAGGCTAGGATTATTTTCCATTTCACACAGGAAGGTGCTGAGGAATCCCATTAATTCTGCACACACCTCTCTTGCCATTGGTTCAGCAACTGAAGGCTGGCTGGTGATCTCTTCAGGCTGGCTGGCTCAATCTCTGGGGTCTCCAAGTTGTTGATCCATATTCCCAAACAGGTTTGTAGAATTCTTGCTGGTTGTGAAAGTGACCCTGACATCTTTATTGCGTTTGCACATGTGTGTTTGTGTGCACGTGCCAAACCGAATTATCCATTTTGCAGAAATGCAACATTTACCAAAAAAAGTACGCTTCTTAATGGTTAAGTTTCAGCACACAATCAAACTTCGCTTTGCATTAGAATTTTTTCTCTTTTTTTTACTGAGCTTTGGAAAAATAAGAAACATGTTGCAGCCTAAAATAAATTACACAATAATGTACAATATATATATTTATACACATTCATATGTATATATACACATATATTGATAAAGGATCGCAATTGTAAGATTTCATCTGTTCTAAGCTACCTGCCCCCACCCTAAATCTAGAAAATGGCTTTGAGTACAATTAAATAAAGTCATTTTACTGCTCTACACCTTATAGAAAAATATAATTTGGCTAAAGAAACCTTGAAATGGAACATTTCAAGATATTTCCTCTCGGATTATGATTACATCATGTCATGTGGTCAAAAGTAAGTTCCTAGACGGGCACCTGGGAGGTCCACTTTGCCCTGTCTACGCATGCACACACCTGCTTGGAAAGTGTTGTCGTTTCCGATTCAACACCCAGAAACGCAGGAAGGTCCCAAGGAGAACAGGACATTCCCCACCACATTTCCGCACCAACAGCAGGAAGCTGGTTGCATAAATCTGATATCCTTTGCTGGTTCTACAGTCAGCCCTGCCACACGAAGGCTGAAATCCTGGGCTTTTGTGACCTGTATCTGTGACGGATCAAGCATAAGCTCATTCAGTCACCAGAGCGCGGCCCATGTAGACATTCCCAGCCCAACCAGATTAATGGGTGACAGATGAAATACTAATTCCTTTGGCCAGAGACACCGAACACAGCATTTCAAAATGCCTGCCTTCTTTCAATGCAGTAGGCTTTTTTCCACGCAGTGCTGGTAAAACGTTGGAAGCGACAACCCTATACAGAGTTACCTCCGTTAAAGGGCTATACCATGATATTCTCTGTATATGTTAGCATGTGTATATTTTTTTGAATAGACAGTACAAACAGCCATATTTTCAAAACACTGGATTACAACTTTGGTTTCTAAGTATTGGCTGTGGGTTATTTCCCCCCCTTTGCCATTTTTCGTCACCTTCCTTTTGGGAAACAATTGCTTGCCTCAAACCTTAAACAACAGTATCCCGCACACCACTGAGCATGGAAGCCAAAGTCTCGTGAAGAAAGGATTTTAGACTGGACACTAATATTCTATATAAAGCGTCTGATTTAAATGTCCATAGTTGATATTTTTTTAAAAAAAAAACACAGTTATAAGGTTAGTGTAGCACAGATAACAACTGAGAAACCAGAGAACAGAAAGATTATTTTGATTCTTATCATAAACTCTAAACAAAAGTCTTGTCCTGTGTTTATCATGGTCTATTTAATGTATGCCACCTATCATTTTCTTGACCCCCGCCTCAGAATTCTGCTTTGCAGCGGTATACAACAGATTACACGGAACAATGAGAAAACCATAGTGAAGAACCCACCGTGGTACAGGTCAATAGATCAAAGTCATTTTCAAGCAAATAAAATAAAGCTAACGATGTGTGTCTCCCCCGTCCCAAAGGCTGCATTTCAAACCTTCCATTATTATTATTATTATTATTATTTTAAAAAGGAAGTGTGTGGGAAGCACTGGCAGAGGCAGAAAGGACGGCAGCAGAATCCACGAATAAGCCGACTTTGGTTGAGAAATGGAGACCGTCGAAAGAAGGGAGATCCCAACTACCGTGTAGCGGCCACGTTCTCTTGAGTTTGCATGTGGTGAGAGAAGGATTTCAGTCGAAGGGAGAGGGAAGGGAAGCAGAGACTGTTCCTTTCAGTCCCTCATCCATGCCTGCATACTTGGTATGCTAGGGAATTCGTTATCGGAAACCTTTGGAATCAAGGCTTCTTTATTACAAAGAAACAATGAAGTATGCGAGAGAGAGAAACAGAGAAAGAAATATGCTTCCAGTTGTCCCTGCAGAGAACAGTCAACTGTCATTTGCTATTCGTTCTCTCTCATTTCGACAATGTCCGTCATTTCCTCTGTGTGAGGCATGTCAGTCATTGCAGAGTCCTCGCCTTCTGTTGCCGTCTCATTGTCGTTCCTCTTCTTTTTCTAGTGGGGAGAGACAAGAGCGTTGTGGGAAGGTGGCCTTGCCAGTCTGCTTGGCTTTTAAAATCAAGGGAACCAAATAATCCCCAAGTGCTCAGGTCTAATTCTCACTGGAAACTACTCATGATGTTAATCAAGCGGGAGTCCCCCCAATCGTGCCCTTTTCCTATCCTCCACGAAACAGGATCTTAGGCTGTAGTCACCAATAAGAGGCTGACTTTGGGCTCAGTGGGGAAATGTAGACTGAAAACAAGATTCCCCCCCCCCCCCCGCTAAGGCATCATAGCTTACTGTTGGGAAGTTGCTTCAGTTAACAAAAGAAAATGTGGTGGAAGCGTGCCATTAACATCACATATAGTTTGAGCTGCAGTCTATACCTGGAAAGGCTTATATTGTTCAGTGCTGCGTCATCCCCTCGCTTTTTTAAAAAGAAGAATTGTAAAGGACAAAACCATGTGTGCACTCATAGCAGCACAAAGATCTCTGTATGTCAGTTTACAGTTTCTCAAATTTGGGTTCCCAGTTGTTGTTGGACTACAACTCCCATCATCCGTAGTGAGCAGGACCAGTGGTCAGGGAAGATGGTATTTGTAGTCCAACAAGAGCTGGAGACCCAAGTTTGAGGAACACTGGCTGACAGCGTGGCAGCACTTCTTGGGATGCCCACATGGCTATGCGAAATCAAGTAGTCACATGGGCTTTCCAGGAAGTTCTGATGAACTCGAATCTGCTTTGTTTATACAGTGTTGAAAGAGGAAAACAAGGTTCCACGGCTACCTAATGCAGTACAATAAGTGACGGTAAGTGGTCCACCCCCATTTGTTGAAAATAGGGGAACAGAACATCCAAACTGTGTTTCAAGGGCATGTTCAGTTCCCTCCATCTCAAGCTAATTTCAAAAACGGTCATCTCGGTGAGAGCTAGGACACAGGCTTCCTATTCCTGCTCCGCAGAAGCAATCTCTCTACGACAGCAGTTTCTTACCTGTTTCTGATAGACGTAACAAGCTGCTATCGCAACCATGGTAGATTCTCCTACAAAGCCTGCCAGAAGTGATCCTACTCCCAAGGTGGCTCCATGAACCCTAATCGCACGAGGAGGAGAAAAAATACACCAACTTTCATTATCATCTCTCTCACATATATACTTAATCCATGGTCACTGTGCTACTATAAGGAAGGGTAGAATTAAAATGATAAAGGATAGGCATTACAGACGTTTTAAACACAGTTGTCTCTTGCAGTGTAAGAGGCTAACAATAGCTGCCTTGTCGCCTGTAACAATTCCTTCCTCTTAGTCATTGGCTCCAATGGCACAGAATGTTGACTGGTAGCTGTCAACCTGCAACTATAACCATCGCCAGCTACTGCACGAAGCTGAAACAAGGGCATGGCAGGGAGAAAAAAATTACACTAGACATAAAGACAGGAGAGGCTATGTGCCAATGATATCCGTGTGGCTTCAGAGTTAAGCAGGAAAGGGCTTCAGCTAGGAAGGGAGCTTGAATTGCGAGAAGCAGCACAGGTAAGTTCGGGAACCTGAGTGGATGAAGGGGCAGAATAGGCAGCAAAAGAGGAGCAGGGACTTGAAGAAGCGAGGGACACGGAGAAGAGTGAACAGTGATCAGAAGATTTGCTTGCTACTTGAGGAAGACATGGGGGAGAAAGGGCTAAGCCTTTGGGCTAAAGCCAAGGAACATCAAGGGAAAAGAAGCAGAGGTGACGGGGCTGAATTTCATGTTTGCATTGATTTGAAATGATCGTACAATACCTTGGCAGCTGCAGTTGGGTGAATGATGATTTTTATTATTTAGTAACCAAAAAAGAGAATCAATCTTGCAGCAAAAGCATGCCTTCAAACAGGCCAGTGTTCTAGCTAAAGTGCAAGATGGGTGTTAATAATCTTTTTCTGACGTTTAAAGTAATCCTGTCAAGAGTTTTCTAGAAAGCCCAAATCACCGTACTACAGCTACGGAACACACTCTAAATTCTGTTGTGGATCACCCTAGGATCTTCGGAGGAAGGGAGGTATACAAACTTAATGAAGAAGAAGAATAAATTGTTAGAAAATGGAAAAGAAGCTGTTTTCTCTTATGCAAAACACGGATGTTAGCTTTGTTTTCTCTAATATGAAAAGCAGATCCTTTCAGCAAACATATCACAGACAGCAGAGCAAAGCGCTGGTATTAAAATCAACTCATTAACAATGCCGTCCTCTGTAGTGGTGATCTCCTCATCCTGCAAAAATAGGTTTTTTTGAAAAAAAGGTAAAGGACTCCTGGAAAGTTAAGTCCAGTCAAAGGTGACTATGGGGTTGAAGTACTCATCTCGCTTTCAGGCCGAGGGAGCCAGCGTTTGTCCACAGACAGCTTTCCAGGTCATGTGGCCAGCATGACTCAACTGCTTCTGGCACAACGAAACACCGTGACGGTAACCAGAGCACACGGAAACACTGTTTACCTTCCCGCCACAGCTGTACCCATTTATCTACTTGCACTGGCATGCTTTCGGACTGCTAGGTTGGCAGGAGCTGGGACAGAGCAACGGGAGTTCACCCTGTCGTGAGGATTCAAACTGCCAATCTTCTGATCAACAAGGCCAAGTGGCTCAGTGGTTTAGACCACAGGGCCACCCACGTCCCATTGCCCGCACAAATAGCATGCAGGTGAATAGAAGAAGGAAATGATGGACACAGGTCAAGATATGCATATTCTCTGAAGGATCATCAGGGCACTGTCATGTTGTCAGCTCAAGAATCTTGAGGGCCGTGTGTCAGATTCATTCTTCCTGCTGTCAAGAGTGTACAAGCAAAAACAACTAATGGTGCCCCCTCCATAGAGCAAAATGGTTGGGGGCTGATATTTCTGTGCATGGATACATTCACCATGATACACTAAGTCCGGGCCAACGAAATGAAATCTTTGAATGAGAGGGAAAATCTCTTTGAAGAAGAAGAAAATAAATTCCAGGTGAACTTGAGGACAGGCTATATAGCTCAATAGAAGAGAACATATTTTCCACGCATCTCCCGTTCAAAGGATCAGTTGCAGGTGATGAGAAACCCCACTCTCTGCCAAGAGAGACCTTGGAAAAATCACCATCCGCCAGAACAGATAATGGCAGGCGAGGTGGACAAAGAGAGCTTCCTGACCTAGTATAAGGCAGTTTTCTGTTGAGAGCCTTTGAATGAGAGCTGAGAAGTAAAGGGTAAAAGAAGAAGGGGCAAGGCAAGAGAGGCAGAGCTGACCCTGGAAACCAGACACAGGTGAACTGATCTGCCGATAGCTTTGTGGAAACAACTGGGAATGGTGCCAACTGCAAAGGACTGGATTGGATGGAAGGCTGCAGCTACCAGTTTTTAGGCCCGTAGCTGAACAGTGGTTCATTTCAGTGGTGTAGCAAACAAATGGTTTTCCACAATATTTTAAAATTTTCTATATAAATATTACATACATGTCAAAAAAGAGTACAGTTATACAAATAATACATTACCAAATAATAATAAGCTACCTATAAGAAGAAAAAATACAGAAAATAAGAAAATGATACATACTGAAAAGAAAAAGGGGGAAGGGGAATAAAGAGAAATAAAATAAAAAAGTCGAAAGGAAAATAGAAAAATAGAAAAATAGAAAAAGTTGACTTCCTTTGACCACTATACTGTTTATATGATCTCATATCTTTAGTTGTCTGTAATTGTTTTTCATTAATGGAGAGACTATTTGTTTACCTGTGGAATTTTTAGTCAGACTGAGCCAATTATAATTTTGGCAACCGACTTTCTTCATATAATTTGTAAAGACACCCCATTCTCTCCTGATTTTTTCATTTGGTTGGTTTCTTACTATTTCTGTTAATTTCGCCAGTTTGAGGTATTCGCTTAATTTTAATAACCATTCTTCTTTCATTGGGTTTATGTTGCTTTTGCAATATTTTGCAATCACTATACTGGCGGTCGTTATTGCGTACAGACAAAATCTTTTATTATCTTTTGGAATGTCTGTTGTGAATAAACCTAATAAGAATAGTTCTGGGGTTATTTTTGTAAAGGTGTATCTTAATGGTGCCAACTGCAAAGGACTGGATTGGGTGGAAGGCTGCAGCTACCAGTTTTTAGGCCCGTGGCTGAACAGTGGTTCATTTCGGTGGTGTAGCAAAATTTATGTAGAGCAGAAGTTTAGGTTTAGTTATAGTATAATAGAATGATATAGCATGCTGCACCACACAGACGAGGATGCGTAGAAAGATAAAGGGCCAACTGTCATGTTAGATATCTCATTAATGAATAAATTCAGAGATGATGGCACTGGTAGCTCTTCTGGACAAATTGGCATCTGTGTGCATTGCAACAGAACTGCAGCAATCTCTTTTTAAAAAAAATTATTCAGTTTTTCAGTTTAAAGTTTTACAGTCAATTATCCAACAACCAACAAAAAAACCAGATTCCAAAGAATCTCCTGGACTTCCCTCCTCCCTTTTGTTAACCATTTCCTCCTGTATCTTTTATAATAACCCAAATCTTTTACATCTCCATTATATCCAAAATTCAACATTAAACTACAAGCGTTATTCCAATCCTACTAATGATTTTAGCCGTCTACAATGGTTTTTAAGATAAATTATAAATTTTCCCCATCCCTGATTAAAATTTTGGTCTTCCTGATTTCTGAATCTCCTGGTCATTTTTGCCGTTTCAGCATAATCCATCAACTTCACCTGCCATTCTTCTACCTACCAGTGCAGCAATTTCATGTGGGTGGATGATACTGTGGTTTTATTTTATGCATGGGAGATTTCATGTGCCTCTTATGTTTTGGGTGATGTGCTATCCAGATGCTGAAAAAAGGGGAACCAGACGAACTTACCCCAAGTAAGGCAACACAATCAGACTGGTGATGAGGACAATGATCCGCAGTACTGAGCTGGGGGCCAGCACAAAAGTCTTTTTTAACGTCATCAGCCATCCTGTCAAATGTGCTCTTACTGTGACTGTAAAAAGAATGTGGGAAGAACAATCAGATACTGGCAGAGAGAGCTTGGCTGCGCATCCTGCCTGTAGCAGAGTGCATTCTGACTCTCTCTGGATAAACCATTTGGTCTCCTGTGGCCAGTAGCAGCTGGTGAGGTGGCAGAGGTACAGCACCATTGCTCCTCTGGCTTCCTAACGCAGTGGGTCTTTGGAACTTGCTGAGATGGAGGGGTGAGACAAGGGAACCACAGTCCAGTGTGGTCCATGGTTGCGGAGCCAATCCAATGCATTGCACTGGCCTAAGCTCTCAATGCTATTGCCTGCAGCCCTCAGAGATCATTTGCTGACAAGTTCACGACAATATCTCTGGTTTGCATGATGGAAGTTCAAGCTTAATATGGATGGAAGTTTAATAACAGCTCCCCATGGGCTGTTATTAAAAGCTGCAGATAGTCCATGCAATTAAACCCCCAACATTTCAGATATGAGGACAGCAGATACGCAATTAAAAGATGCCACTTAATAATCACAGTCCTGCCTGTGAGAAGTATAATGGGTGGGGAAAGCCCTGCTGGACAAAATAATTAGAATACAGTGGTACCTCGGGTTACAAATGCTTCAGGTTACAGACTCCGGTAACCCAGAAATAGTAACTTAGGTTAAGAACTTTACTTTAGGATGAGAACAGAAATTGCACGACGGCTGTGCAGCAGCAGCAGGAGGCCCCATTAGCTAAAGTGGTTCCTCAGGTTAAGAATGGTTTCAGGTTAAGAACAGACCTCCGGAACAAATTAAGTTCTTAACCCGAGGTACCACTGCACTCTCACTTGCCGATAAAAAACTGAACATTTTGTTTTTACTTCTATTCGTTTTATATCTGCACATAGAAAACAAAAACATGAGAAAGGTTCTAGCCAAAAATCTCTTGAATGTGCTAGATTTTGACATGTGGGAAACCCTTTAATAACAACAACAACAACAACAACAACAATAAAAACAACAATAACAATAATAATAATTATTTATTTATTATTTATACCCCGCCCATCTGGGTGAGTTTCCCCAGCCACTCTGGGCGGCTCCCAATCAAATGTGAAAAACAATACAGCATTAAATATTAAAAACTTCCCTAAACAGGGCTGCCTTCAGATGTCTTTTAAAGATAGGATAGCTGCTTATTTCCTTCACATCTGAAGGGAGGGTCTTCCACAGGGCGGGCGCCACTACCGAGAAGGCCCTCTGCCTGGTTCCCTGTAGCTTCACTTCTTGCAATGATGGAACCGCCAGAAGGCCCTCAGCGCTGGATCTCAGTGTCCAGGCTGAACGATGGGGGTGGAGACGCTCCTTCAGGTATACAGGACCCGAATGCATTCAACAATGCAATTGCCCACCGGTGCCCAGAACAGTGGCGAAGCATATGCCCGTGCAGTCTGGGGCGGGGGGGGGCGCCCCCCACGCGCCACAGTTCAGTGTAGGAGAGATAGGGAGAAAGGTGCCACCCACTCTCAGCTACCAGGTCAGACTTGAGGAGAGCTGCCCTCTGCCGCCAGGTCAGAAGAGCTGCTGCCGCCGGGTCAGGCCCTTCTCAAAATTGCACCCAGGGCCACGGCCCCCACAGCACTCCCCACGCTACGCCTCTGGGCCAGAACAATACAGAGAGGCTTGCCACTTTCTCTGCTGTTTCCATTAACCAGGCCCAAGTGCTGCCTCTTGGTGACATTGCACTAAAGGTACAGTGGTGCCTCGCAAGACGAAAAGAATCCGTTCCGCGATTCTCTTCGTCTAGCGGTTTTTTTGTTTTGCGAAGCAAGCCCATTGACAGCTTAGCGGATTAGCGCTACAGTGGTCTAGCGGCTTTTCGCGATCAGCTGTTAAGCGGGTTATCAGCGGAACAGCTGATAGGCGGCTTAGCGGCTTAGGAAAAGGGGGGGAGCGAAAAAAAACCCGCGGGGACACGCAAGATTTTTCCGTCTTGCGAAGCAACCCCATAGGGAAATTCGTTTTGCGAAGCGCCTCCAAAACGGAAAACCCTTTCGTCTAGCGGGTTTTCCGTCTTGCGAGGCGTTCGTCTTGCGGGGCACCACTGTAAAGGTAAAGGACCCCTGACAGTTAAGTCCAGTTGCGAACTACTCTGGGGTTGCAGCGCTCATCTTGCTTTACAGGCTGAGGGAGCCAACGTTTGTCCGCAGACAGTTTTTCCGGGTCATGTGGCTAGCATGACTAAGCCGTTTTTGGCGAACCAGAGCAGCACACGGAAACGCCGTTTACCTTCCCACTGGAGGAAGGCAAATGCCGTTTACCTTCCCACCTTTTTATCTACTTGCACTGGTGTGCTTTCGAACTGCTAGGTTGGCAGGAGCTGGGACCGAGCAATGGGAGCTCACCCCGTCGCGAGGATTCGAACCGCCAACCTTCCAATCAGCAAGCCCTAGGCTCAGTGGTTTAGACCACAGCGCCATATATAAAAAAGCACCCAGCCTCCACTGATATAAATTATGGTGCCATCACTAGAGTCTCTTTAGTTGAACCAGGCTAGACACTTACACAGGTCAGGGAGAAGGAAATGAAAATGCACAGGATTAATGTATAATCTGATGGATGGTTCCCTCCCTCCCTTCCCTTTTCCCGTACCTGGAACTGGGAAGAAGGAGAAGATACGAAGTGGAATGACACAGAGCTCCGCAAAGGCAAAATCCACTCCAATGATATCAACCAGAATCTTCTCAGACACGTTTGGAGTCCAGAACATCACAAAACAGAGCTGGGGGAGGAGAACCGGAAAATGAAAAAAAAAGGTTAAACATTTCACATTGTCCCATACTCTCAATTCTAAACGCATTTGGAAATGGTCCCTCATTTCCCCCTTGGTTTTTACTATATGTTCCCTGCACTTTGGGGTGGGCTATTAGGAATGATTTTAGTGCCTTCGAAGAGTAAACACTCAAAGAAAAAACATTTTCAGATTTCTTAAGGTACTTTACTCTCCCTGCAGAATCCCCAAAATTACCTTCATGAATGAAGGTAATTTTGGGGCTGTTTTGACCAATAGGTGAAATTTGGCCAGCAACAATTAGTTGTGGACTAAACTGGAAAATGTACAAATATATTTGCATGCCTTGGCCAATCCCACTAGAAAGAGCCCAATGCCTAGTGATTATAAATTAAGCAACAGTGGGAAAGCACCAATGCAATTAATAAGTGTTGTGAAAACACAGAAGGAAAAAAATTATGGACAGAAGGATGGATATATATATATATATATATATATATATATATATATATATATATATATACACACACACACACACACACATACACACACACACACAAACACACCCCTCAAAACTGTACTCGGCAGATGACAGGATATGTGGCTGTTTAACATGATGAGACTCAATCAACTAGGGACTGAGGACTTTGAGAGTTTAAGATCAGAATGTTGAAAATATGAGAACAAGAAGAAAGCAGAAAATATAATTGTGTGAGATGACTGCTTCAGAGGTCCAGAATATGGGAAGTCCATCTGAAATTTAATAATTCAGATTGTAATTTGGTGTTGTTTTTTCTTGATTTGGATTATGATTGGATTTGACTTGTTATTAATTGGATGTTTTTAATGGAAAACTAATAAAAAATTTTTTTAAAAAAAAGTGTTGTGAAAATACAGGATTGGGTCCAGCATTGCTATTCTGCTAGTGCAGCAGATTTCCATGTGCACAACAGAACTTCCCCCTCCTCTCCTCTGCATATCTCTGTGCATTTGTTCCAGAGAGTTGGAGGACCCTTCAGGGGAGAGGAGGAGAAGGGAAAGTCCAGATGCACGACTTGAACTCCGGACATGCAGCACAAGGTACAACCCATAGAGTTTTCTTATTACATTTGGATCTCCCTCTTCCTCCAAGGAAGTCAGGGAAGACCAGGGTGGATTTCATTTAAATCACTAGTAAGACTTGATTTAAATCTTTCTTTCTTTTTTACAGAAAGACTCATTCTTGCTAGTATAATAACCTTAATATTTACAACAAGATAAAGGTTTCATTTTTGGAATAATAAGTTTTCAGTGTGGTTTTTACAGTTATATCAAAAATTACTGATTTGGCTATACTATTAGAAATACATAGACAGACAATTGTGAAATTATTGTGAGGTTTAATAACTGTTTATATTTGGGCAACTTTTCTGCTATACTTTATTGAAAGGAGAAAAACAATCATTTCCTTAATAACAATTTAAACAATTTATTTAACTGAAAGAATAACATTATAGCATATGTATCCATGTTTGTTACCTGATGGGGATAAACAATTTTTTAAAAACCCTGAATTCTAGCACACATGAAAAACTTAAATCCTTATTTCCTGATGAATAGCCTTTGGACTATAACATAACTTAAATAGAAAACTAAAAAGATTTTTTCCTCCAAAAGCATTTTATTTTAAAAATCCAATTTAAATTTTAAAAAATCCGATTTAAATTAAAAAACAACAACCAATTTTTTAAAAAAAAATCATTGATTTTTATCCACTCTTAGAAGACTACACCACCCCTTCTAAAGTAATTTAAGTCTGAGAGATGCTAGTTCAAGGTCACTCAGTGAGCCTGAAGACTAAGAGGGGATTTCAGTCCAAGATTCTATTCACCAGGACCATAGAAAGCTGCTTTATACTGAGTCAGACCATTGGTATATGTAGTTCAGTACTGCCTGCTACACTGACTGGCACTGACTGAAGCAGAGGGGCTCTGGGATCTTATGCTCTTACCGTTGGTTACAGCTCTTCCCAACCACAGAAGTCAGTTCTGCCCATATACTGTATTGGCCTGAATATAAGCATCACTTTCCCCCCCCAATTCTGACCGTGAAAAGTTGAAGTGCAGCTTATATTCGCGACCTTATGGTATGCAGCCAGGAGCGTGGGGCAAACAGCGCCAGGAGCGCGGCAAAGAGGCACCCACCCCACGCATAGTCCCCTGTCCTCTCCCCCAGTGGCGTAGCGTGGGGGGTGCAGGGGGGGCCGGCCACACCGGGCGCAACATCTGGGGTTAGGGCAAATCCACAGGTTAGGGGGCGCAAATCCACGGGTTAGGGGGCGCAAATTACTTGCCTTGCCCCGGGTGCTGACAACCCACGCTACGCCACTGCTCTCCCTCAAGGCCAGGAGAGAGCGAGGAAGGGGAAAGGCCACCGGCAACGCAGTGCGCCCCCCCCCGCGCGCCCAGTTTGTAGGCAGGAGCAGCAAGGAATGGAGCGGCTTATATAGTCATACCTCAGGTTACAGCCACTTCAGATTGCGTTTTTTTGGGTTATGGACCACCGAAACCCGGAAGTACCAGGTTTCGGCAGTCGCGCATGCGCAGAAGCGCCAAATCACAACCCTGCAGGTTGCGAACGTGCATCCCGCATGGATTACGTTCGCAACCCGAGTGTCCACTGTATTCAGATATTTTTTCTCTTCCCCCTACCAATTTTAAACGTGCGGCTTATATTCGAGTGCAGTCTATATTCAGGCCAATACGATAGATTTAACTGTTCTTAGCCACTTTACCGAAGGAATATCCCTAAATCATCATAATTTATTATTTATACCCCGCCCATCTGGCTGGGTTTCCCTTCTCTGCCACGGCCATCATTATTTCGCAATTCCAGTGAAGTTAGTGTACTTTTTTCTTCTTACTGGGACAGGTAACTCGAGACCTTAAAGGTGACCTTGCTTTTGAAAATGGATGATGTGCGAGTCGAGCACATCGTTTTCTAATTAAAACCTTCTTTTGAAATGACAACAATTTTATTACGGTGAAAATGTACACAGCTATGAAGGACTGAAGTGAGTTCAAGGCTTTGTAAAAGCTCTCCTTTTTTCTTTTTCTGTTTTACTGCTCTTGATTCTTGGAAGTGATTTATCTGCTTTCATGGCTGAAGAGAAGACATTTACAAGATTGGATTTGGGTGCCGGGGAAGCAATGCCACACTTGAATTTAAAGATTAGTATATTATTGTGAGAATTAAGAAAGGATTGCTTGCCCTGACAAGACAAGTTGGTTTTCTTATGAAGGCACTATTCCCTGCATGAATAAAGAGATCCATTTGCATCCCTAAAGGGAACGTTCCCCGCTCTTTTTGTAACGTATTGTATTCTTCTCATTTACCATCTGAATGTGTTTGGAAATGACAAACCCTCAGTGAATTTAAACTTGTTCCAAGGGCTCACACGCCCAGCAAAGATTTATATCTAAATTATTTCAACATGATTTGGTAAATTAGATTTAAATAGCTGCCAACTTCTTGCATGGGGTAAAAATGTCAGCTACTCTCTTCCGTACAAACACAGCTCTGAAAGTGGTCCCCTGTTCCTTCCTCATATAAGCACAATGGATAACTTTCTTCATTGCATTATGCATGCAATATGAAGGAAAATATATACTCTCTCCTGTATTTGCAAGTTTATTCTAAACACAGGCAATAATTTTTAAAAATGCTGTTAGAATACCTAAAAAGAAGTATTTCGCACAGTTGAACTGCAGCTCCTTTTACAGCAAGCAAACTCAGGAGAATTGGCCATAAAGCTCTAAAGCAGAGAGTTTAGGAAATTTTAGGAGTTGGCAGACACAAATGGGATTGTGGACATCTTCCAGATGGGTCAGTTGCCTGGCAGAAGAGGACTTAAAAGGTAGTTTGCCTCAAACACGTCCTCCATTTTCTGGTTCAGAGATTGAGGGCCAAACATGTTATCCGTGCTGTCTTAAAAGCCACATTCAGAAATATAATAGCCACGCAGGTCCTCAAATTGAATCCGGTACAAGGAGAGGGATTAAACTTCTCCCTCCGTGCCTTTTTCAATAAAGCACTCATTAATTCGTTCAGCTTCAAAAACGCAGGGGACAGGACAAGATAGGGCTGATCAACTAGCTTCCATCTCCAAAGAGTGAACTTGATCGGATATAAAAACACACCCAGCACTTTCATGAACAAAGAACGGAATATGCAGAACTGAGAACTCCTGGAGATGCTAAGAGGTGCAGAACCTCAGGGGCAAACAGTCCAGCACACAAACTTGCCGTGCCAATGCGTACACCTAGTTCAAATGGAGCGTAACAAAGATCTCCAGCAGATATTGGTCTGCCTGGTCCTGTTTCTTTCTAATAATATCTCTTCAGGATCAGAATGAGGAAGGAACATAGAAAGCCACCTGTTACAGGGGCAGCCCACTGGCTCCTCTAGCTCAGTATTATGTGCAGTGACAATTCAGGATTTGAGGTAGAATGCTACCTAGCCCTACCTAGAGATGCTGCTCCCGTATGCATGCAGATCAAGACGTCTGCCACTGGCCTACAGACCTTTCTCCCTAAGTCAGTGGTGGTGAACCTATGGCACAGGTGCCAGAGACGGCACTCAGAGCCCTCTCTGTGGGCACGCGCACAGTCGCCCCACTGTGCTGGAGGTGGGAGATCTCAGGCGAAAGTCCAAAGCATGCCGCCCTGGTGGCGTAGCTTCCATGCCGGGGGGTAGGGGAGGAGTGAGGAGAAGAGGAGGGCTGTGTTAAGTTGTGGGTGAACATATCAGACGACACAGCGATTCTTCAAGCAGCTCTTGTTTATTCACAGGCCAGGCCAGGACAGAACTGAACTGAAGGGTTCAGTCAGCCTGCTTATATAGAGCAGTGTTTCCCAACCTTTTTTGGGCAAAGGCACACTTGTTTCATGAAAAAAATCTCGAGGCACACCACCATTACAGCCCCGTGACGTCAGCGCGCAGCGTCACGCCGG